CACCTTCTTCCTCAGACCTCAGTGCTAGGATGCCGGTGCTCACTTCCTGTCCAGCTGCTTCTAGAGCAGTTAAAGTCCTTTTTGCCTATCATGCTCCTAAGTAAACAAACCTGTGACCCTGAATATGTCTTAACAACACATTTCTCGAGATGAAATCTGTTGCCCTTTCAGTGTATGGAACATGCTGTAGTTTTTTCCCCTTAAAAAAAAACAGCAATAATTATTTTGTTGTATTACTATACCCAATAAAAATGTATGGTCAGCTTTTAGAAAAGGTCAAGCCTTAGCTTCCAAAGTGGAAATAAATTTAATCACAAGAAATTTCCAATAGGATTTTTAAAATATCAATATTACTGAAGTGTTATAGATGATCCATATATTATTAATACTTATTGTTGTCATTTGATGATACGTTTCAAATAGCTAGCCTAGCTAGTCTATGGATAGAAAAAGAGTTTGAGAACTCATCTGAGGTGTCCGTTTACACCCTCTTACCCCGCTGTGTAGGAACCAGTGTTTAATGCCTGATAATCCCATCTATAAATTTTGAAACCCATTCTCCATCTACTTGACAGATGCAAACATTTCTTACATTTGAATTTGCCCTAAAATTTGGAACACTACACGAATATGGTTTACGAGGCTTGTTTTTATTTAAGATCTTGTGGCCACTTGTCAAATGGAATTTGCATCATAATTATCTAAAAGTGAAAGACGTTTCTGTGTGTACTTCCTGTGTTTTCAGGTAATATTGTCTCCATAGCCACTCTGCAATGCAGACCAACTGAGCACTCATTGTAGGCAGATTCAGAATGGCCCAGAAGTTTCCTAAATTAAATTTCTAAGAGCACTCATCTAGCCGGTTCTCATCCAGGCAGATCAGTGGTTGTCTGGGTCCAACATCTTGCTCTAGATGTCATCTTAACCATGCCACTTAGCTCAGGTCTTGCCTGCCATTCTCAGTCATTACCAACCTAATATGAATTAATCAGTTCTTTTCTCTGAATAGACTGAATACTCAATTATTTGACCACCATATGACACTCTTCTTGCAATTTATTAGATTTTAAGACAATGAAATATGGAGTCAGTTTAGATATATTGTGCAGGGCAACTAGTTTGGCAAGGTGGCTCAGCGCTGTTCAAACCATGCCTGTACTGTCAGTTCCATGTTTTCTGCATTTGTATAGTTGATGTGTGGATCCAGTGAGTGCTTATTGAGCTCTAATCCCGTCATTGGTAGGTCTGAGTTGCCAACGGATGATTTTTTTCACTGCTTTTGAAAAGCTCTAATCTAGGGGAGAATTCAGGCATGTAAACACTTTCAGCAATGTGCAAGTTTCCTATGAGAGGTGTATAGGGAGTTTCAGAAGAGATCCTTTAGAGCAGGGTCTCTGCTCTCACCTCTATTTTTAGATCTTTGCAAAAAATTTGACACATAGAAATATCAGTAAATGTATTTAATTGAACTGAATAATTGTTTATTATTCTGCCTTCTGACATCAGTCTAAATTACTCTGAACATTCATCCAAGAAAGAGAATATACTCAGCTAAACTGACCTGAAGATAGACATGAAATCAGAAGACATAAAAGTTTTTGAGATTTGAGATAGGTTTAGAACAGAAACAAAAGGCTCTTGATAAAGCCTCGATACACCACACACCACACACACACACACACACACTGTGCATGAAAATAGCCAGAAAAGCAATGAGAGAAACAAGTAAAACTAATTAGGAAAAAAAAAAGAAATTGAAATTAGAATTAATAATGACATTACTGGTCAGCCTATTGAGAATACAAGTTGCTTGAGTTAAAATACACTTATCCTCTGTGTTCCAAGTATCCATGACAAAAACTAGCTCAGCTCGGCAAATGTTCATGCAGTGTGAACTAGCAGAAATTCCTGGTTATGAAGAGAAAAAATTTGATTGAGGGAGAAAAAGAAGTCAAGACAACAAGAGTTGATTTTTTTTAAAAAAAATGAGGATTATTCCACACTACAATTATGTCGTGGCATGTTTTTCTGCTAATGTTGTAACCGGCATTAGCTGGAGAGCTGGTATGTAAAAGGCGAGCTGTCTGGTTAAGGGAGATGAGGCCAGCACTGAAGTTCTCTGTTTTGTCCTCTCCTTACCTGGACTAAGGGAAGGAAGCAAATCATGGTGTGTTATTTTTATACAGTGGAAGAAAAGCTGGTTTATGTCTAATTGAAAACAAAGTAACACCATATGTTGTGCCTACCGAGAGCCATTATGATAATGCATAGATCCGGGAGTGCATAATGCTCTCAGTCTCAGAAATGGCACAAGTCACAGCACTGACTCCAGTGATTTCTGCAATTAGTGTTCGGTTCTTTTCTCTGCCTGGTTAAAATAATAAATGATGATGATAACAAGACCTCTCTTCAGCCACTAAAATGCTATTTTTATTACAAAGTCTTGTTTACAGTTGCTCATGTTTGGAGTCTATCTGCTATCTTGAAATGAAAGATTATTTAATGCACACAACCCTCACTTTTCTTTTTATTAGACTGAGAGTTTTATTATTTATTTATTTCGCTTCATCCAATTCTACCTTCTCCTAGAGCATGGCCTGCAGTTATGTCTTCCTCTTTGAATTTAGTAGAGCTCATGATCCTAGGCCATTTATTATTACCACTTCCTGTCTTGCATATATCTCTTATGTTGAGTAAATCTCAGAGACTTTAGCTTAAACATGGCTGAGAGCCAGAGTCTTTGAACATTCTATAATATATGCAGGACTGTGTGTATACGTAGGGTTTTGTATTTTTCAGGAGAGCCAATTGCTTTCATTACATTGAAAGGTGATTTGGGACCACAAAAAACTCAGAACATTGGAAACTTTCACTTTTTTATCCTGGAGGCACATAGAAAATATAGTTCTCCCTTATATTGCTTTGGCCAAGTCTGGTTTAATCTCCTATCACTTCAGCAATGTTTTACTATGTGCAGTCAGGCTCTAAGTTCATTTGCTTTATTAACTCACTTAACCCTTGCAGTAATTCTGTGAATATATTGCCATCCCTGTTTTACAGATGGCAAAAACTGGACCAGAGGTTCATAAAGCTAATAAGAGGGAAAGCCAGGCTTCATACTCAGGCAGTATACTAGGGCTTTAGAGACCCATGCTCTTGATGTCTGCCCTGTACTGACTGTATAGAACAAGCATGTATTAGAGGGTCCATACATAGAAGGTCATTATTACTACATAGATTCCTCAATAGCAGGTTTGCTTTTCAGCCTCAAGATTACAACCAATGGAAACACAACAACAACATATTCATTTATTTTATAAATACTAATTACACATCTGCCCCATGCTTACAACGTGCAATGATGCACTTAAATCATCTGTCTCATTTCATATTTGCAGTTGCATTCAAGGTACATATGGTAATACCCATTTTACAGATGATGAACTGAGGTTCTGAGAGACTAAATAGCAAGCCTCATCTATAAAGTGTCAGAAGAGTTCAGCCCATATCTCTCTCCCTCACATACTAGGCATCTCTTAGCTTCTCTAATGGGCTGGATTTCCAATTAAATACTACAGACATTGCTAAATGTCTTCTAAACTTGGGGGCAAAATGTAGAATCGACCTAGTTATTGCCAGTGCAAGTAGTATCTTATAAGTGGTATATAGGCATGAGAACCTACCCCATCTTTGGTTTGAGTAAATCATAATTTATTTACTCTCCTCTTTCTTTCCATTTCATTTATTATTAGAGCCTCTCAGTAATATTGTGTTCAAGACTCCACAGAGCAAATTATGGCCATTCGAAAAAGCACACGTGCAAAAATAAACAAAAGTAGAACTAATGTGCCATTTAAAAATAGAAAATTGCAAACACACTACATCCTCATATCACCCACCTGAATCTCCAGAAGTATTTCAAATTTCCAATCCAAACCCAGAGGCTGTGATACATTAAAGTTGTCTTCATTCTTCTTATGTCCAATAATGGCAATCTGTCTTTTTAGGTGCTCAGGCAAAAATTGCTAGGGTCTTCACTGACTTTTTCTTTGCCCACATCCTACATCCAAATTGTTGGCCAGCCCATTGGATCTAGAAGCATAAATATATAAAAACTTCAACCATTTTTCTTCCACCAAGCTCACTGGGTACCCCCACTCATATACCAGGTAATTGCAGAGGCCTCAGAATTTCTCCCCCCATCTCGCTCCAAGCCCGCACTAATATCATTGTAGCCTGATCTTATAAAATGTAATAAAGTCACCTATTGTGCTACCATATGGAACTGCATGTGGTTAGTTGAAGTTAGAAATTGAATAATCGAAATGAAATGAAACTTAAAATCAGTTCCTCACACACTATACATGTTTCAAGTGCTCCTTAGCCACAAGTGGTGAATGGCTATCCTACAGGACAATGCCTGTTTAGAACACGTCCATTGGTCCATGAAGTTCCATTAGAAGCACCACAGTGGTTTCCCATCTTGCTCTCCGTGATCTGCACTCCTCCACTCTCACACCACCCATCCAACCCCATCTCCTTGTTCTCTACCCCTCACTTACTCACCTCCAACCTCACCAGCTTCCTGGCCAGTTTTTAAATGTGCCAACCATGTTTCTGCCTCAGGCCCTTTGCAGGTGCTATTCTCTCTCCCTGGAGTCATCTTGCCTCTTACTTATATCCACCTGGTGCTCTGCCAGGTCACTGCTCAAATGTCACATTATTACAGACACTCTCTGTGCCCACCATAGCCAAAACCAACAGCCCATTCAACACTTTAACCCTCCTTATTCCTTGCTCAGATTAATTTTTCATTTAGCCATTACCACCATCTGATATATGACATGTTCACTTACTTATTTAATTTTTCTCTCCCCCACCACTCCTTGAATTGTGAGCTCTACAAAGGGAAAGAATATTGTTTTATCTAATGTACTGCATGGCAGAAGGCAAATGAAAGAAAGAATACATGAAAGCATGAACTTTCTTCTATTGCACAGGGGCCAGTGGCTGGGACAAGCTGTGGAAAAAGTACGGATCCCGCCTACCCCGGGACGACCTCTGCCAGTACATCACATCGTCCGACCTCACTCAGATGCTGGACAACCTGGGGTTGAAGTATGAGTGTTATGACCTTCTGTCCACCATGGACATATCTGACTGCTTTATTGCTGGTAATGAAAATGGAGAGCTGCTTTGGGACTTTTTGACTGAAACCTGCAACTTTAACACGACAGCACCACCTGATCTCAAAGCGGAAATTCTGAAAGATCTACAAGAACCTGAATTTAGTGTTAAGAAAGAGGGGAAGGTTCTTTTTAATAACACTCTGAGTTTCATAGTGGTGGAGGCATAACTATCAATCATTTAAGACTGTCTTCAAAAATTAAATTTTGAACACTGTTCATCATTCATTTCCATATTAAAATTACAAAAACATTTCAATTCAGATAAAGCATTGTTTCTTATTTACGAAATCTAGAAAATTCCAAGACATTCTGGACTTACATGTAGAATCATATGGGAATATGGGATACTGCTAGTCTTATGTTGTCTGTCCTCTAAGTAGAGAGACCACATATAGGCTAAACACCACATAAGCTGGAAAAATGAGAAAACTGAATTTCACTGATTTAATGACAGTAAAATCCCTTACATTTGCTGATTGTCTGAAATTTTCTAGGATACTAAAAATATATGCTATGGATTCTTTAAATATTAGTGAAATACATACTTATTGATATACGTACATAATGAGTGTGATGCGCACCAACTGGGGGATGGACACGCTCGAAGCTCTGATTTGAGGAGGGGGGAGCAAGGGCAAGATACATAACGTTAACATTTGTATCCCCATAATACACTGAAAAAAATAACAAAAGAAAACACAGCTATTTATTGATTTTTTCACCTTTTATAAAGAAGTATTTGTCCTCGTACATTCTTCTATTGTATTTTCCATCTTATTTTTTATTATTAACAGTAAACATCTTTAGAATGTTACAAAATTAACTATGTGTCATGTGTTATTTCTTTCCATTTTGTTTTCTCTTGCAATTTTATATTATTTATTTTTGTTTCAAAATGCTGAGGGAATACAAATGTTTTTGTTACATGGCTTAAGTCAGGGCTATAAATGTGCGTATCACCTAATTAATGTTCATTGTACCCCTTAGGTGGGTTTTTGCCTCTCCCCTCCTCCCCCCTGCCCTGCTTGATTTCCAATGACTTTTACTTCCCTCTGTGCATTTGTGTGTCCATCAATTAGTTCAAATATATTACAGAGTAATACATTGGTTAGTATGGACATTTTAAAAATGTTGATTCTACCAATCCATGAGCATGATATGTTTCACCAATTGTTTGTGAGATCTGTGATTTCTTTCCTCAGTGTTTCATAGTTCTTCTTGTAGAGGCCATTCATTTCTTTGGTTAAGTATATTCCTAGGTATTTTAGTTTCTTTGTAGCTATCGTGAATGGCACTAAGTCTTTGATTTGACTCACAGCTTGGCTGAAATTGGCATATAGAACTGCCACTGATTTGTGAACATTTATTTTATAACCTGAGACTTTGCTGAATTTATTTATCAAGTCCAGGAGTGCCTTGGTGGAGTCTTTGAGGTTTTCTAGACATATGATTATATCATTAGCAAATGATATAATAGCAAACAATATTTGATCTCCTCTTTCCCAAATTGGATACCATTTATTTCTTTTTCTTGCCCAATTACTCTGGCTAAGAATTCCAGCACTATGTTGAATAGAAGTGGTGACAGTGAGCACCCCGTTCTTGTTCCAGTTCTTAGGCAGAATGCTTTCAACTTTTTCCCATTCCGTATGATGTTGGCTGTGGGTTTGTAGCATATGGCTTTTATAATTTTGAGATATATTCATTCTCTGCCTAGTTTGTTGAGGGTTTTTATCATTAAAGGGTGCTGAATTTTGTCAAATTCTTTTTCTGCATCTATTGAGATGATCATATGGTCTCTGTTTTTGCTTCTGTTTATGTGGTGAATCACATTTATTGATTTACATATGTTGAATCATCCCTGTATCCCACTTTGTGGGATGAAGCCCACTTGGTTATGGTGGATGTTTTTTTTTAGTATGGTGTTGAATTCAGTTTGGGAGTATTTTATTGAGGATTTTTTTTATCTATAGTCATAAGGGATATTGGTCTGTAGTTATCTTTTTTGCTGTGTCATTTCCTGGCTTTGGTATCAAGGTGATACTGGCTTTGGTAGAAGTGGAATTGCGGGAGGATTCGCCGCATTCGCCAGATGTTATCAAATAAGCTTTCTGCATGTGGGTGTACAGTTCGTTCTGTGAGATGAGAATCTGAGGTAGAGTCTGGTGATGGATCTGATGGTGACCCGGAGGGGCTGGTGATTTATTATTGTATTTGGGAAGAGAGTTATTTGTTATTACTCTGGATTCCGAAGTCGGTCCAGCTGTTGTTATTGACTAGTGTGTGATGAGTCGCTATTTGCTTCCTGATTGCCGAGTTTGGAAGGTTGTGTGTCTGGCAGGAATTTGATGCAGGTTGCCCGTCTATATTTTCGCTAGGGAGTCGTGCAGCAGAAGTCGCAATGAGGTATCGATGATGATGTGTTTGCTAGTGTTCGGGTGCGGTATCATCAGTTTGTAAATCAGTCTCCTTTTGCAGTTTCTAAGAGGAGTTTATGGGGTGCCGTTTCGGCTCTATGTCCTGGTTACGAATCAGTGTATAGCACGAGAGGGTCAATCAGGTTGTTTATGCTGTGCAATGGGACCAGCAGCGGTTTGTGGTTCCACTAACCTTTTGTAAGGTTTTTTTGTGGTCTGTGTTTTCCATCGCATGTAGTTCGTCTCGGGAGCCTGTTATCTTTGGTCTGTTGTGGCTATTCAGTTGTGGTTGGGCGTCTTCCTTTCCAGTCCTTGGAGATGGATGGATATTAGAGGGTATTTGGAATCTGTTTGACGTGTTGATGTAGGGCCATGTGAAGAGGCTGAAGGCTATGAATTTTCCCTTTAGGAATGCTTTTGCTAAATCCCATAGATTTTGATTGCTTGTGTTCCCTCTGTCATTCAGTTCAAGGAATCATTTGATTTCCATCTTGATTTCATTATCAACGTAATAATCATACAGCAGCCAATTGTTTAATTTTCATGACCTGTGTAGAGTTGAGTGCTATTCTTGGAATTGATTTCTAGTTTTATTAGACTATGGTCTGAGAAGATACATGTTATGATTTTGATTTTTTTTTTAATTTATTGAGACATGGTTTGTGGCCTAAGATATGATCAGTCTTAGAGAAATCTTGGAGAATGTCTCATATGCTGGTGAGAAGAATGTATATTCAGCAGTTTTGTTGTAGAACATTCATAGGTCTATTTGTTTTAAAGTCCCATTTATGTCCAGTGTTTCTTTATTTGTTTTTTGCTATATGAATTTCCCAGCTCTGACAATGGTGTGTTAAAGATCCTGGCAATTATAATGTCACTATTTATTTTCTTACTTATCTCTAATAGAATTTCTGTATCTGGAAGCTCCTGTGTTAGGTGCATATATAATGATCATCTTTGTCTTTCTTTGCCATTGTTTATTTAAAGTAAATTGTGCCTGATATGAGAATGACTACATTCTCTTTCTTTTGGTTTCCATTTGTGTGAAATATATTTTCCATCCTTTCACATTGAGCCTGTGTGCATCCTTGTGGTTTAGATGTGTCTTCTGCAGACAACAGATACTTGGGTTGTGGTTTTTTTGCCATTCAGCCAGCCTTTGTCTTTTGAGTGGTGCATTTAAACCATTGATGTTAAGAGATAGAATTGATACGTGGGATGCTGTTCTGTTTGTCACGTTGGGTAGTACCATATTGCTTTTTTTTCCTTTGGTGCTATTGTTTTATAGTAGTTGTCAGCTTTAGATTTTTTGGGTGATTTTACACTGGTGTGTGTCTATTGTGCTGATTTATATATAATATAGTTCTAAGTATTTCCTGAAGGATAGGTCTGGTCATGACAAATGTTCTCGGTATTTGCTTATTTGGAAAAGACTTAATTTCTCCATCAATTTTGAAACTTGGTTTGCATGATGCAAAATCTAGGCTGGAAATAGTTCTGCTTAAGAAGATTGAAAATTCTGTTGAAAAGTCTGCTGTTAGCCTGAGAGGTTTTCTTTTGTAGATCAGTACTTGTTTGTGTCTAGCTGCTTGTAGAAATTTCTCTTTCATTTTGACTTGGGCCAGGTTGATTACTGTGTCTTGGAGATTTCATTTTTGCTATGAATCTTTCCAGTGTTTAATGACCATCTTGTATCTGGATATCTGGATCTCTGGGGATACCAGGGAACTTTTCCTCAATAATACCCTTGAATAGATTTTCCCTGCATTTAGCTCTTTTTTGTCCCTCAGGGATACCTATAATTTGTATGTTAGTTCACTTTGCCTAGTCCCATACCTCTCTACCTGATGGTTCCACCTTTCTTATTCCCATCTCTGCCTATTTAAATGACTGGGTTAGCTCGAGACAGAAACAGGGCTTCTGAGCAGGACCTCAGAACTGGAAGGAGGGCTATGAGGGCCATGGACTGATCCAACCTGGAAGGAGAGGTCAGGGCTGAGCAGGTGGCAGACAATTCCACAGGCTTGGGGATTATGCAGATACCAAGTCATGCAGGTGGAGATTAGTACTAGCAGCCTGAGGACCATTTCATTCTCCCCATCCCCTCCAGGACTCACTGAAGCAATCACCCAAAGCCTCCCAGGTTGGAGCCTGCAGTGCCCCAGTCAACTCCTGTGCTCAGATCTGTTGCACTATAGGAGAGGGCACTTGTCTTCTGGTCTCAGGGTGGCTCAAAGGTCTCCAGTTAGTCGCTCCTCCCAGCCTGGTGGGGATGATGTGAAGGCCACTTTGCAAAGCTAAGTCCCATGCTGACCTCGCACCATCACCCAAGAGCACAGAATGTCTTTAGCTATAGAAAGCTAAAGTCAGCCAGGATCAGCTGCTGCCCAATCCCTACTGTGCCTGTTGTCCAATACAATGACTTTGTACAAACTCCAGGCAATGTCACTGGTCCATCCAGGCAAAGACCTGTGAAAGGAAAGGAGGTCCTCTCAAAACTCAGCCACAGTGCTTGCAGGGTGAGTGAGGTGCACCAACACTCTATACTCCTAGTCTTCCCTGCATGTAGATAGATCTGGTTGATATTGTCCGATTATTGCCCTGTCACCTTCTTTTTCACACTGAGTTTCCTGCATTGCTTCTCTGTGATTTCACAGTATTCCTTTCAAGAAGAACTATCTGTAGGTAGGCATCTTCCTACAAATTACATTTTCTTGAGCAGCAGCACCCTTGCAGGTTGCTCTAATTTGCCATCTTTTCTCTCCCCATCTTGCAATTTTAAGTGTGATTTAACAGTGTGTTGTTTGTCTTTTTGTTACACAGAAGTTTTTCTATTTCATTCAGCCAAATTTCATTTTTGTTTTCTTTTTTAATTTCTTGTTTTCTTTGTGA